AGTACAGATTTCCTCACATTAAGTATTCCGCCTGTAAGCATTCATGTTTGTTATGCAAGGTTATGTACCTAAAACACAGCGTTGGCTGAATCCTAACAGTATTACATATTATATAGTCTCAGCTCAGCATATAGCGACAAGATGAATTTATATACGTAATGTTGTATTAAATTTAGTTTACCAATAAAAACAGGTACCATCTTAAAGTTTTTTTTTTAATTTAATATTCAGTGAGTCTACAATATTTTCAATCGAGCAAAAAGCTCCATAAGTCAAATATAGAGTATACAAACTCAACAAAACTAAACAAAAATAACAACTATTTTATTATAATTTTGCGAACAATTCGACGAGAAAGCAAATATGCAAGAAAAACAAGATAGTTAAGAATAAAAAAGCAAAAGACATGAAGTATTTAAAGAACCAATTTACACATTGCAATAATTTAGGTTTGTTTGATGGTTTCTTATACCCACGTAAAAAATTCTAAATAATATATAAGGGCGGATAATATATTAGATAATAAATGGTGGATAATATATAAGGTTATAACTTTTAATTTATAGATTAACTTTATCGTTATAAGCTACGTGACAATTCGCATTTAATCGCTCAAGCGGTAACAATGACTCAGCCGACGAACACAGGTTCGTAACTAACTTCAAAGAAACTAAACCACTCCATAAAGGTAATATTTAAGCTTTTGCAAGAATAATTATATGGTTGATTTTTCGAAGAAATGATTTGAAGACGGGAATTAGAGAAATGGGGATACTATCACGGCTAAATGAAACAGAATGAAATTAAACGAAACTATTTGTGTCCATTAATAACAAAACAAATAAAAAACATTTTAAATAACAATAATGAGTTTTTTAAGATTCATTTTTATTTTTAGCAGTAGTTTCACAGCACATTTAGTGTTACAATGTTTATCGTTGAACGTTCTTTGTAGGGTGTTGCATGCTGTAAATGATGCACACTAGATGACGCCAAGCATAGCTAAAAATGCCGTCGGCAGAACGTAGATAGATTTTGAGATCTTCGCACAGTGGTTCATCAGTCGCTTAGCTTAGTTGGTAAAGGGTCTGGGCGAGAAACCAGAAGACGCAGTTTCGAATCCCGGAGAACTGAAAGTGTTTTGTGTATTTATCTACAAAAACTTATCAATAATGATTTATTTTTCTCCACGTAATGTTCATGTGACGTTCAATTTTCAATAGCAGTTAATTTTCATAAACAGTAATAATAACGCCATATTGTGACGACAATTAATCACAAACACAATCACATATCGTATATAATCGTATGTTAAAATAGGACAGCTTAGGATCTGCATAAAATAATAAATTCTTAAACTAACAATAAGTCATAATCAATTATAATCATTGAGAATGAATGTTATAGATGATTAATATCAAATTCTATCAATACATATACATATATACAATGTCAAATTAATTTTATGATAACACTTAAAACAAACCTTAATTCTTCTCTGTTAGTCTACTTGTTTGATTGTTTACTTTAAGTATTTAAATCTATTACACATTTAAATACGATATAGGTAACTGCAGATGGGTCAGTGCGTACCATAAGTAAATCACAATCACAGCTCTACTAGAACCAAAAGTGTACAAGTTTGACCGTAAATAGACATATTAATATATTTACGAGCCTCTGGACTCCCAAAGAAAAGCTATAAAAATTCGCACCAAAGAGCAGATACATAGCTAATGTGAAGTTCGGACAGTAAAAAAAGCCTACAGAGTATGATGATATTATAAACCGCCCCCACCATTATACAGCGTGTCTTTACCATCGCGACAATAAATGAACACACATATAGAGGATAACTTTTTAAAGTTGTATTAAACATTTATATTCTTTAAACATCAATATTTACAGAGTTATTAAATTTTCCAAAACAAAGAATTTTAGAACACCCTTACTTATAAAAGCGTAACGTAAAGTTCATTTGTAAAGGTCACAAAGCATATGAATGGGTTGAATGAATTTAAAAGAGACAAAACATACTGTTAGAAGGAGAGGCTTGTAATATTGTTACAAATTTTGTTTCTTTTTTACATAATTACTTTGATTGAAAAATATTTTTTTTTAATTATGGATTTTGTTTAACGTCAATATTTTTTTATGATTATTGGCAAGTAGCATTAGGCGTGTGTTCATTTATCGTCGCGATGGTAACGACACGTATAAATTTTGACGAACCAAAACTCCTCACTAAAGAACTCCGACTCCAAGCATTATTAGCGAAGTTCATTGAAATACAAAAGATCCTTACTGCATTATAGAAGATAGTTGGGTTTTACCACTCGGATCTTATCATTCATACTAGCATGACCAAATCCAAGGACATCTTGACAACAGTACTGTAAGACTGAGATGCCTACTGTAGGGTCCTACGTAGATCCGACAAAATAAAGTATTAAAAATGTTTTTATTATTAAAAACCGGATTTACTACGATATTAGGAAGTAAAAACGTCTCATCTGTATGATTAAACATAGATTGTATGGTGTTCGAAACGTCAGGAATTAAAGCCAAAAGCACGAAAACTCCGTACCTACTCGTATAATTATGATTTGTTGAAAAATTTAGTGTTCGCGTAAGCATAAGAAATCATTATTATAATGTTGTAAAAAAAAAAACATTATTTCCTTTTGCACCTCAAAACTCCCGTTGCAATTAATAGAAGTTACTTTCATAGCACGTGAGGGTGCGACAGGTCGTAAAAATTACAAATGACTCGGACGCGGCGCGCTTAGTTTCTAGCGGAATGGAAACTTTAAATGATAACGTTAAGAATTTAAATGAGCTTAACGGGTTAAAAGCTACTGATAAAGCGTGCATGATTAAGTCGGTGTTTATATTACTCAGGAAATGAGTAATATAAACATATAATAAAAGTAATGTTTTTCATTTGGAAGCCGAAGAACTTTGTTGGAATAATAGCGGTTTCGTTATTTTAATTTTCAAATCCATTTTCGATGACCATTACCCATTGGATTATAAATACGTCGGTTACTAATCGACAACGAGTCGAAACCAGAGCTGCAGATAAAAATCTGTATATCTTAGACCTTTGATGTTTTTCCGACTTCGAGTTTTTTGGAATAATCATTACCTACTTGGTGGAAAGTGAAGTCATACCTAGACGGGTCATAAGTTCTGTCGCATAGTGAAAACTTTGAATGTTGAATGCTGGCCACAAAAATATTCATTGAATCCGAATGACGTATAAATTTAAATAAAAATGTGCAGTATTTCGAATTTTATTTATTTTAAAATATGGACTGGACTGGACGCTTAAAGAACGATAACAGCAGGGTTACGCACAAAATCATCGATGTACAGAAAAATTTCAATATAACTAAAAGATTCGTTTATCGATCCATCAAACGATATAACGAAAAGGAGAGGGTCTTGAATGAAGAATTAGACAAATATATAAATAAAGCTTGGAGCTTATTAATACAGTCCTCACAAACCTTGTGGAACCTGAATTCTCAAATCATGTTCAGACAGACATTGGATATTTCAACAAGATTCTCCGCGAGCTCATAGAGCGAAAAGCAAAACTGCATGCAAAACTGGCTGGCGGCGAGCGAAATTATGTTTTTTATTATATTTATTTATATTTCACCGGACAAGTAGACTGGTCCTCCTCCAGTAAAGCACAGACTAAAAATCTTTGGATTATAAAATACTAGCTGTTATTCGCGCCTTCAACCGCGCGGACAAAGGGAATTAACAATAAAGTTTTTATTGTACACCAGAATATCTCACAGATGGCTGATTTTTTTCCTACTTAGTTGACAGTTATCATTACCAATATATATTTTGGACAATTCACACAATATCTTTACATACTATAGCCTGATGTCTTATTCTGATGCTATCTTATTGCAAAGTTTCATTAAAATCTATTCAGTAGTTTTTGTTTGAAAGAGTAACAAACATCCATCCATACATACATACAAACTTTCGCCTTTATAATATTAGTAAGGATGGCAACACTTGGAGTAAAAGGCCTGCACGAAGCCTCATCCTGATTTGAAGCCACTACAGGTATCCTTGATCTAAGCAGCCTGCAACATTGATATGGATCTAATTCATTTAAAATAAACTTAACATAGGAATCTATATTTTAGTAAGTTCCTTTTTGAGTATAAATGGTTACTGTATGTAAAAACAAACATGTGACCCAACAGGGTATTTAGTACTTAAACTCGATGAAAGGTAAGGAGCGCTGTATTTCTTTCTGTTCACCCTGTCAGATAAAGCAGACATGAAAGTTTGTATCGTAATAGAAGCGTACAAAACCCAGTCTAATTTAATCTGGACAGTGCGGAAGTTGCAGCACACGTTTGTGCCATAATGTCCCAACGAAATGTTTGCAATTTGCCCACGCGATGCGATAACTCCCGTCGCAAGTGCAGAATGCGTCGAATGAATACAGGGTGTATTCATTCGACGCATTCTCATCATGCTGGACACGCCGTATTAGTTCTACACGCGATCGCATTAAAATAGTTATTGTTTACTTGACTTCTCATACGTTAAACATTTGTTGTTAAAATTGTAATTTAAAAAAAAAGTATCGTTGGCCCATTTTCAAACAAACATAGTCAAGCGACTTGCTACTTGCAAAGCAAAATAATCAATTTTAAATATTTTAAACGAAGAATTTTTATTTGTATTAAATAGGACCTTTAACCAATTTTGCAATAATATCAAATTTTGACTACTAGTTTCATTCAGTTAATAATGACCATTTTATTTTATTCGTTTATGGTATAATCTGAAAGAGAACAGGTTAATTTAAGAAGATATTATTTCATTTTTTTGTAAAAAATATACATTACAAACAACCAACTGTAAAAAAAATAGCTGAGTAGAGTTTTCTATAACAAGTCTTTATTAGTTTAGAAAACAAGTACATTCTAATTTTTAATTTTAAATAAAAGTCGTGATCATTCATCATCATTGAAGACAGTTTTACGACCTTCGAAAGGCAATAGAGTAGACACTTTTTTCTTCGCCGCCCAAGATGGATGCAATTTTTCGACATGTTCAATTTCTTCTTTGCTCGCATTATTTCTTTTATATCGATTATTTGGCGCGGAATTATCTTTATTGTTAGAATTAGAGTAGTCCCCGAATTTCCTGTGGCTTTGTTTAACACCGTCCTTTCTCGGTTTGGGCTTTGGTACATGACCGAACATCACGGCTCTCCTATATTGCCTATTACCTTGTTTATGAACATCTTTGATCTCATCCGGTTGCCTCGGCTCAACAACCGACATATAATTCTCGCCCGTTGACGTTATGAAGAATGGATCGACAATTTTTACTTCCTGCGCTGGTTGCTCATCTACGCCTTTATTGAATTTCCTCTTCAGAATTTTTTCGTTGAAGTTCTTATTTTTGCTCAAATCTTTCTTCTTCTTTTCCTTTGCTACTTTAATGGGTAAGTTATTCACATTTTTGTCATTTACTAAATTAGAATGTGCAATGTTTTTATTTGACCCTGCACTTCTTTTACAAACAAAATTTTCAACTTGAACATTCTTTATTGTTTCTACATTTATATCTTCTCTTATTTCTTTATGTTCCGATTCTGAAGAATCATCTGACTCGCTAACTACCTTTGAATTGTCAACTTCATCATCAGACTTTGCAATTATACTGTTAGCCATTTCTTCATCATCTTGCATTTCATTATCAAAAGTTTCTACCTCCTCGCCTTTTACATTAATAGTATTATCATTGTCTATTTCTTCTACTTCCCATTTGCTTTCACCATTTACTGCTTTTCTTTTCGCCTCTTTTGCTTTCTTTTTATTCTTTTGCTTTTCTCTGGCTTCTTTCTTTAATTTTCTTCTCTCTAATCTAGACATGGAGAGGTCTTCTATTGAAGTATTACTAAATCTACTTCTAATAGATTTGTACTTTGATTGTAAGCTTTTGTGAAGTAATAACCTTGCACATGCCTTATCATGGTCCACATCTGGCTTATTTAAGTAACTATTAAGATCTCCCTGATGTGTGACTATAAATTTTGCAATGTCTTTCGCTTTGATTTTCTGAAAACAGAAAAAAAGTATTAAATATAAAGCCTTTTACAGGTGAAATAGGTTTAATAATAGCTAAACGATTTTACTTCAAATCTGATGGTATCTTTTAATCTTTTTTAAAAAAATGTTGCTTTTACTTTAGGATATCATTATTCTGTGTTGTAAGGATGTTTTACAAACATAAATTTCACGAGGACAAACACCCAGATGCAAAACAAGTATTTGTGGGTCACACAAATAGTTGTCCCGTGTGGGAATCGAACCTACAACCTCCGCCGCCGAAGCCAATACCTTTGCAACTGCGCCACGGAGTCTGACTAGTTAGGTGCACTTTTATCACCAAAAAGTTGACGTAAGTACAACTTCAATGACTTAATAAAGGAAGAAGTGAAAGATGGTCCTCTTTTTATGTAATAGCTACTGACAACTTGATTTTACTTTGAGCAATTTATTGCTGGATTAATTGATCATTTGACAGTTCAATTAATCAGTTCGCACATTTGGGGCATTTCACATTAGGAAAATCATCATCAGTAATCAGTGCAATGGCAGATTATAGGTGTATTCACAAGAGAGTTGAAATTGAAATAAACAACTTTTTATAAGATTAAGTACTAAGTAATTAAAATATATTACATTATAAACTATTTGCAGACAAAATGACTCTTTGATTGAGAATTTCTTGGCACACTTTTCATTGTGATTTAATGGTCCAAAGCTTTTCATATATCTTTTTGTTATGTTATTTGTTGATATACCTTAATAATTAGCACTTCTTTAACTGCAGACTCAGCTTTTTTCGTGAACTTTCCTTGTAACTTCTCAGGTACCTTTTTCTCTGTTAGGGTCTTCGCTTTTCTTGTAAGCTTATGGATAATTTGTATCTTAGCTTGATTTAAATTTTTCTTCATTAAGATGACCTGAAATATTCGATGGGTAACAGTTATCCTTAGAAGTCTTTCTGATGTAATTTTTTATTCAGAATTATAAAAATACACACAAATAATAATAGAAAAGAAATGATTGCTAATCAATCTAAATATTTTGTTGTACATAAAAATTGATGAAGAAAACTGTTTTGATTATATTAGAAGAGTAAATATACAGCATTGTCCATATTTATATTAAATGGATTCCATTGCAGACATCACTCAATTCAGAAAATTAAAAAAAAAAACATTTGAAAGGACTGTGTGAAGAATGATACGTCGGTCAAAAGGGTGAGTATTGAGTTGACGGCTGATAAAGGAAAGTGCTAGAAAAGAACATGTTGTGCCAATCCCACATAGTATGGGATAAGGGCAGGAGAAAGAAGAAGGAAGATACAATTGAGAAAATTGTATTGTGATTTATTTGAGGATACAAGCCTGTAAACTTTTACAACACATTCTATTCCTCACTCAAATGGTGCATAATAGGTTCTCATGGTATCAAATCAGGATGAGCTGACCAAGATTCATGCATACATTGGCGTAAACAAAAAAAGGAACATATAACTTTTCAAGTGTCTCAGATCTTACCTCATTATTGAAAGCTTGTTTAACAGCGCCTACTTCCATTATGATATAGGTGCGGAATGTTAGTGCTTTAAGGTTAATTTAGGTTTTTCCCGTAACATTGAACAAAATTCTAAGGGACTGACCATATCAGTAATTTAAATATTATATAAAGGTACACAATTCCATCTACTAATGTTTTATAAAAATCAATGACTATTTATATATATATCAGTAATATGAGAGACAGAGTATTATGAGAGGTTAGTATAAAACTTGTATAATGTAAATTGTAAACATCAGTGACACATGGCATGGCATGACATATTATGGCAGATTTTAATTTCAAGTTTGAAGTAAAAAGTTACAATAGTTACTTGTCAATGTCAAGTGTCAACTTCATAATAATTTTTATCTAAGTACTTTTAATTATGTTTAATATCGTTAGTTACATTAACAAAAACACATTCTGCAAGTACAAAATTTATGTGTAGAAAAAAATGTATAACTAGTTAGTAGTTACTGTCATTGGCAACTCAGTAATTGTTTTCAAATCAATCGTTATGTCGTAATGAATTGATGACAAACTCAGCCGAATAATTTTTTGGGTAGCACAATTAGAATTTCCTTTATTTAAATTATTTATTAAAGAGCCGTGATAGCTCAGTGTCCGGGTGCTCGCCTTTAATTCAATATACTCGAGCAACCTGAGCTCGATCCCCGGTGCCGGCTCCAACGAAGTTTTTAACTTTAAGTGCTGACTTATCACGTGCTCCGCGGTGAAGGAAAAAATCGTGAGGAAACCTGCATATTTTCGAAATAATAATAAAAAAAAATATTTCGAAGATATGTGAAGTCCGCGAATCCGCAGTGGGGCCGCGCGGTGGACTATGCCCTGATACCCTCTGTGCAGAGGAGGCCTTTGCCCAGCAGTGGGACATGTATAGGCTGATACTTTACTTTACTTTTTTTATTTAAATTCTCTGGATAGTGTTTTTTTTTTTTGGGCGAGACACAGAAACAATTGATTACAAAAAAAATTAAATCACAAATCACAATTTCAACCTTATTGTCTCCTCGGGATTTTAGTATCAATTGCGGTACAAATTGAAATTCGAAGCTCCATTCGAGTAACCCTTAGAAAGTTCCAACAGATGTAGTGGAAGTGCAATGTAGTTGACGGGGTTATCGTGTCGTCACGTGTCCAACAACGTTTTTCATCTCAGTTCTAAGTCTGCCTATAATCTGGCAGCGGACCTCTCGATGAAGGTAACTAAATCAGCCATACTAGCAAATGACATTGAAAAAAAAATTTCGATGGCAACTTCATAACGTCGATTTTCTGACTTTTTTAAGTGTGCTCATTCGTATTCATTATTTATTACCGTAACTTCAACCTTTAAGTTAATATACACACCAATCTGAACATTTATTGAACTTCAAGGTACATACACTTATTACTAACACTTTTTCATTTAAAGTCACTTATGAAATAATGCTCCTTAATCTCTACACTCGATAATAAAATGAATGTACTTATTCAATGTGATGTATTAATTTTAATGTTTGAAACTTTATGACATTGTTACATTTAATCTGTGCGTACTTTTCTTAATATCCATAAATAAAAATAAATTGTTCTCTTTGGACGAATCTGTCAAACTGTGATGTACGTTAGTTATTTTTTTACTTGAATTTATCTAAAAAATCAGTGATAATTTGTTTAATTTCGTTGCAAATATCGTGTTAAAATTAAAAAAGTGGCAAATTAAAGTGTTAATTTCATGTGCTACACCTTTAAACTTCGCTGTTTTCAGCATGGCGCCTAGGTTCGAGATCGCAGTTGGTCTGCGAAAAGGCCATAAAACCACTAAAATATCTGCCGGCAAAAAAGGAATTACTGACAAAGCCATCAGAATTAGACCAGCTAGGCTTAAGGGTGTAAGTTTTTCTATTTCTTAATTTGGAGGTTATGTTGTTGTTTCACAAATAGTACTGTGAATGTAGGGCTATGATAGCTCTATTTAGTATGATTAAGTTTAAAAATTAAGAATTATTTCAACATCTTTCTCTATTTCTAGACTTGTTGTCCATGACGCCATAAATGTACAAAATTATCCTCAATCTGCCATACACAAACGTGTTTGGGTGCTTCTTATGTTTTTCATAAAAATGAATTAGAGAAGTTTATGTTTTACGCTTGTTATGCATACTTTATACATTAGTAAGGTTAGAATAATAAGCTTAAAAATATCGAATCTATGTTCAAAGAAGTGTTAGTCTTGTGATTGTGTCAATGACTCATGAAAACTTAAATAATTTAAACTGAACAGTACAATTTAAGGTTTTTATGATATTTTTAGTAGTACGCTAATGATTTTCCATAGTAAAAGAGTATTGAATTGAATGAAAGAATATCAGCATCTTATTTTGAGTTCTATATGCCATATTTTTTTCTAAACTTGCTGCACACAACTTTTGAAATGTTTTATCGTTAAGCTTAATAAATATTGCATTTATGAAGTCATGCTACTTTTATATTTACAGCTCCAAACTAAACACTCAAAGTTTGTGCGTGATCTGGTACGTGAAGTTGTTGGACATGCACAATATGAGAAGAGGGCTATGGAGTTGCTTAAGGTTGGTATATGAAGCTGAGAACTTGGTTGGTATATGAACACGTGTAGTAGAGTTGTGTAGTTATTTAATGTATATTATAATGCTTAAGAAGATAATGTTGTCAGTTATGCTCAGTTTCATCCAACATTAATTCCTATCTGTTGATAAATTAGCATATGAAATAAGTATGGTTGATTTTTTTATTGTGGTTTATAAAATCAGTACATGTTTAAGTAGGTAAGATATCACTCCATACTTCCAGGGTAAAGCATAACACTAACCCTAAGGAACTGCTTACGTCACAAATATCAATTTCTTTATTTTTAATCTGTAAAAGTTGCCAAGCGAGCAAGCGCTTCACCAGATGTTAAGTGAATATCGCTGCCTATAGACATCAGCTACACCCGAGGGCTTGCAGATGCGTTGAAAACCTTTTTGAAAATTGGGCTATGGCTACCTCACTCACCAGATGAAACGTGAAAGTATTTACTTCCACTTCACGCCGGTGTTCTGTGAGGCTGTAGTACTTACCCGGACGAGCCTGCCCATTCATGCAAAAACACTCATTGTTTTACAAAGCAAGAAACACTTGATTTGCATTAAGCATAATGAAATTTATGATATTTATATGTTGTATAAAATGCAACAGTATTATATTCATTATATTATTATCAGAAAAGTTAAAACTAAAAGTTTTTTCACCATTAATTTTAAGGTCCAAGTTACCTAATGGGTAAACAAATGAAAAAGGGTGCCACAAGTTGTTACTCAAACCTGCATAGCAAATACGAAATCAATCTTTCTTTTTTTTTAATATGTATAATATCATAAAATACTTGCACCATCCATATCCAAGGATATTTCTCACTGCTCCCATCTGAGCTCTGTGCTTGATGAAGCTTTATAGTCAATGGACTGAAACCATAAACATTAATTAAAAAAACCTTACTGTAAACATATTTGTTATTTAGGATGGTCATGCAGGCTGTCGCGGTTAAAAAGTAGTTGTAACCCTACATGCGATGGCCCAGTTGCCAAGGTAATGGTTTCGGCGCCAGGGATCGTGGATTCGATTCCCACAACCGACAACTATTTGTGTGACCCACAAATAATTGTTTCGGATGTGGGTATTAATCTGTGTGAAATTTATGTATGTAAAACATCCATAAGGATTTAATATATAGAATACAAGTTAATGTTATGCTACAGTAAGGGGTCAATGTTTTCAAAGGGAAGACTACAATAGATCTTCTAAGCTGCTGTGGTCTTTGGGACTTACTACCCAACTGTGCATACAAAAGACAAATAAAAACCATAAACTCTTCGTGCAGGTGTCAAAGGACAAGCGCGCGCTGAAGTTCCTCAAACGCCGCCTGGGCACACACATCCGTGCGAAGAGGAAGCGTGAAGAGATGAGCAACGTCCTCGCCCAGATGAGGAAGGCGGCCGCCCAGGCGCACCACGCCACCACACACACTAAGTGAACAATAAACTATAAGAACTAGCGCTTTGTGTCATTCAGTACCATATTATTGTTTTATTACTAGAATGTTATTGGTTAATAGAAATATTAACCAATGCCGTTGTTATACATCTTTGAGAGTGCAGTGTATGTGAAAAATGACATGTCTCCGTCTTACATTTTCTCCAAGCCTAACCATGTGCAAGAAGACGTGACAAGTTTGTTTAGTTTTTAAAAAAAATTAGTTTGTTAAAAAACTAATACAACACTTATGAACAAGAGTATATACTCTGCATGACACCAAAAATATATTTCACAAATAGTTTTTATTATTGGTGAGTTCGACGCCGGCGTTGCAGGTTCGATTTCCACATGGGAATTTATTTTGACCTTAAACTGTAAAATGAGCCGAAACTGCGCTGCAGCTGCTACAAATGCAATAGAAGGCACATAGATGGCAAGATTTTCGCGCAGTGAGGCCAGCGGCCGCTTTACTTGGTAAAGCATCTGGGCGCGAAACCAAAAGACGTGGGTTCGAATCCCGCGGCGCCGAAAGTTTTGTTCATTTATCTACCAAAATTAATTATTTTCGGTGGTAGGGCCACGCAGCAGCCTCTGCTGTTGCACGAATGGGCAGGCTCGTCCGGGTAAGTACCACGACCTCACAGAAGACGGGCGTGAAGTGGAAGTATAATACTTTTGCGTTTCATCTGGTGAGTGAGGTAGCCGGAGCCCAATTTTCAAAAGGTCAACGTATCTGTAACCCACGGGTGTAGCAGATGTCCATGGTCGTCGGTATTCACTTAACATCAGGTGAACCGTCTGCTCGCTTGGCAACTTTTCACATAAAAAAAAATATTTAAAATTTTGAAAAAATATTTAAAAGTGCAGAGACTAGCACTATAAATAAATATTAATTTTAAATGAATCTCAAGGAGGGTGGGGTAATGCAGACGGCCGGTTGTAAAAATAGTTAATACCATTAACCACATGTTCACATGTGCCAACGGAATTAGAATAAGGGAAGGAAAAAGAAGAAAACTGGAATGATGGTTGCTTAATGATGTGTTTAAAGTGATGTATATTAGTGCTTAATGTTTCAAGGAAAACCCAGGTGGTAGATAAATGTTATATCCATTCCATATGATATCGCAAATGCTGTGTTGCATTTCTAAACAACGATAGGTTAGTACTATTCAAGTCTATGCACTACTTAATGCACTAACTAACCCATCAGACATCTAAGCCTTTATTACAGTTTCATAAAGATTTAAATTGAGTCTTCAATAATACTAAATAATTTCGTTAAATAAACGTTAACAAAACTGGTACATTAGTAGACTTACAATACGATTCTGTAAAAAGTTTAGGAAATGTAATTATTATTAAAAAAATCTTTAGATAAAGCTGTCCACATCCTCTACAGTACACTCTCTCAAACTACACTTACAAAGAATATTTGAAAAATAAAATCGCCTTTGCTATTGAAATTTAGTTTTTAGTGCTAGTCTCTGCACTTAAAAATGTAGATAAAACTTGCAATTTTTCGCCGCTGCTAGGATTCAAATCTGAGCCTTCCGGATTACCCTGGTCTGGAACCTAGACAATAAGCGGTCGGCATCCATACCAGGCGCTGTACTTTACGCCGGTAATTTACGCGTGAGGAAGCTGTATTGTATTCATTGTTACGACTATTGCCTTAGAGATATAGTGTTACACGCGGTCGCAGTTGTTACTGAATAAACATTTTTTAACGAAAAACAAAACTGACTTCAAATATCTCGCTGTGTATTAATTTTATAATTGACTAGTTGTTAACCGCGGCTTCGCCCGCGCGGCCAAAGGGAATTAACAATAAGTTTTTATTATATACACCAGAATATCTCGCCTCCTACTACGAATATATCTCCTATTTAGTTGACACTTATCATTACCTATATTTTGGACAATTCACACATCTTTATAAATTAGGTATTGTGTTATTCTGATGTATAACCTATATTATTGTAAAGTTTCATTAAAATCTATTCAGTAGTTTTATGTGAAAGAGGAACAAACATCCACCTACTCGTACAAACTTTCACCATTATATAAAGTAAGGATTTTCCTAAGTATCTCCGGAACCCAAGATCCAATACCAATGAAATTAATACCGTATACCGGGACCACATGGGAAGCACCAGCTATCAAATAAAAAAAAGAATCATCAAAATCGGTCTGCTCAGTCAAAAGTTCTGAGGTAAGAAAAAAAGTTAAGTACCTTTAGAAGTCGGTTAAAAAGTGTTCCTTTCCGTACTGTCACAAGCTTTTCTGTATTCATGCTTACGACTGTTACCTTAGTTGGACAGAGACAAAAAGTGTTACACCCTATCTATTTATTCGACGCACATCGGGACGCTACATCAGGTCATTAAAAGGAGATTAAGAATCGAACCCCTTAAAGCGTTTATCCGTCCAGCAACGCATGATCGACTGTTCCGTCAACGGGCCACATCCACACCTACGAGGGGTTACGCCCATTATCGTACTGGTGCCGAGACTGTCAGACTGCGCGACCTCTCAAGACAATGCTCCGGTTATGGGATTCGATTCTCTGATGTCCGGCATCTGCCTGACCGTTCGGATAGTGTAGACCTTTTCTGAATATTAAAAGACAACGGTAGACAATATTCCGTACTCCGTAGTACATTTATAATGAAATAAAATATACCTATTAGTAGTACGTAGTTTTTATTCCTCCAAAGTCAGCATGAAAGAAAAAATTTGTTATCTACTCGCAAGAGAAGTTGTAATAAATCTCTCAACATTCTTTTTCCCATTAGGAGTTTAAAAGTTTAAATACGCTTAAATGGAAGTCTTTCTCGGTATCAATTGAGAGCCATTTATCTCGGAAAGTTAAAAACTGACATAAAGGACAACTTGTAGAAACTCGCTTAACTTCCCGACACAATGAGCTTTGCGACTCATCGCACGAGGAAAAGAACTTTTAGTCTTCTCAATTTTTCTTTGTTGATTACATTATAATGTAACATCGTGAACTGATAGATTACAGTATAATGTTAAATAATCCAGTTTTACGGCTTTAATAGCGTTTATCTTTCGTTATAAATTCCTGGCGATTCCAAAACCTACAAAATTTGTGTTACTACAAATTAGTACAAGACCTCTATGTCTTCACAGTCACCGTTCTAAAGTATGTGATACTCGTACTTTAGGCTACGAGTACAGGGTTTCTAATGATTGTATGTTTTTTTTGTAATCAATAAACTTATTGTTGTTATTTTTATTGGAGGAATATTTATTTATTTTCTCATCGGTTTATAAATAAAATATATAGTGTATGTAATAAATTAAAAAATAAATAGGACCCAACCACAAGGAAGGAACCTCGGCAGGCGGAGGCTGAGACCAAACGGCCGAGGGTTAGGACTTAGGGCGAAAGGTAGAGAAACTGGCGGACGATGCGGGCGGTTTCTAGGAGCACCACCTTCTGTATTTCAGCTCGGAGCACCCACCGCCGGGGGTCCCGCCGGATAACACTACACCCACAGTTAGTGTAACAACAATCACACCAGTTCGCCCTCGCCTCCGAGCACGGCGAGACCCACACAACGCGTACACAAGGTACACCCGCGTTCCGGGGCGGTTCTCACCGCTCCCAGCCACCGATTAGCTAAATGCACAGTCGACGGCCGTCGTTCCGAACCGCGACCTCGACGGCCCTTAGATGACACACCATAATTAAACGCACGCATGAGCACATGCGCGACCCTACCCATAGCGGAGGGTCCAAACCCGTGGGTTCTGGCTAGCCCACCGGTTCTGCGTCCGATGAAGCTTTAATAGTCTCGGGACTGAAAGCAAAAACATCAGTTAATACAAGATACAAGACAAGCTCGGAGCGGTGTATGAGTTCAAGCGGAGAGCAAGGAGTTTGAGAATGTTTTTAAATTATTTTTTTATTTGTAAAGTTGTCAGATTTATGAAGTGTGTACAGGACAACGTCTGTCGGGTCCGCTAGTTTTTATACAATTTTAAATCGAATCGATATAATAATTAGAGTTGTCTAATGTTTATTGTTATTATGTCCCTCAATTATTTTCCGTTTACATACGTAAATAGTTCCTTATATTTTTAAAGCGATTATAATTCTTTATTATCTTTATAATAGTTTTAAAAGCAATATTTGTATGAATCGTTATGAAGGTACCTACATATTATTTCAATCCGAACAGCAATGTTTCAAGAATAATCTCACATCGCTGTTATTATTGTTTATGAAATACCTATCCAACGTCATATTATTTCAAAATCTTCGTTTGTTCAAAGAATATTTATTATAAGACGCCGGGTGACGGGGTTATCGTATTGCTTAAACAAATACTGCATGTTTATTGAAATCGTATCACATGTTATTTAGATCGTTAGTAACAAATGGATTACAATTTTCATTTTTCTAATGACTACTTTAAATAATTGTTATAAAACTTTATTCTCATCTCTCTAAATTAGCCCCCAAGTATACTTGGCAGTATGCCAGTTGTCTTTCGTCCGAATAAGAAAACAATTATTTCATTTGTACCTACATAATTTGTTAAAATCTTGAATAATCGTTACTTTATGGAACTATTCTTTAAAGATCAAAATAAATACTTACTGAGTATATTAGTAAAAAAATTAATTGGATATTTTGTTAGGGATGGTGAAACATGTTTTTTTTATTTTTACTATACCATGCTCATTTATGGCAAAGGATAAACAAAAAACACCTTGTTTTGCTTCCCCTAGCATTAATTAAAAAATAAATAGTTTGTAAGACACTTCTTATTCGTTTGAAGAAATGCCACTAATTGTTCGACGATGTTTTATCCAAACATTATTACCACTGGCGTTCTTGGCTTCTATTTTCAACCTAACAATTGAAAAGATTTAGAAATTCTTTAAAAATGTTTGAAAGATGAAGTTTGTTACATGAGACATTTATAATCACGGGATACCGTAATTATGACGGTAGTAAAG